CTCCCCGTCCGTTACTCCAGTCAGCGCTGGAGGGGGGGAATCCCTGCGGGGAGTGGTGACTGACAGTCACGGCTCTCTGCAGTGCAATGATAGGAAAGTGAGCAATCTATAGAGTCGATGTGTGACAGTTTCATTCTCACTTGTCGGCTCGAACCATGATGTTGAGTGAAAATAACTCACCTCATAGTTCTCCTTTTAGTGAGTTGTTGAAGTGGGCTATTTGCTTGCAAATAAACTTCTCTATTGTAAGTGCCTCCCCCATTGTATGCCCAGAAAACTGCCTTATTTTCAAACTACTGAATTTTATACACATCAAGTAAGGCGACATAACTGCTTACAGGTTGAAATGAAAACTTCCCATGTATTTTAGCCCTTGGAGGGTGCAGACATAAACGGAATTTGTAGTGTTCCCTTATGGTGTTACAAACTGGCCTTTTGAAGTGTGTAAGCCTTACGATGACCCTCCCATCTGTGGTGCCTAAAGTTTGACTGCTGGTGTGTGAGAAACTGGGTTTGTGAAGAGTAAACTTGTAAAAGTAATAATAATGATAATAAAGGCTCCTGCCTCCTATCTCAGTGGCTAGTATTGTGTGATTTTTTTTCAGCAGTTATGCAAGTTAGGATGGCAATTTTATTTAGGGTCTATTCACACCAGCAAACCACACTAAACGGCCACTGGTGTCTGCTGACAGGTACAGTGCTGATGCACCGATCCCGGCACATCGCACTATTTACCCCTTTTTGGTTAGAACTAACAAGTGGCATTTTATTACGTTTTATTGGCGCATGAGCTTTTTTGGGGACAGATCCGTGCGTTTTGCCCCCAATAGACTCAATAAGAAAAAGAGGCAAATTGTGTTGATCTGCACCAAAAAACTTTTTCCAGCTACAGGCTTGTGTTGAGGTTTCAGTGGTGACAAATACGCTTAACAACCGCCTCTGGTGTGAACAAGGACTTGCATTCATTTACACCCACATCGACTAGTATGGCAAATCCTAGGTCCACCCATAAAACATACATATTGGGTAAGGTGATTATTAAAGTAGAAATGAAGCCAAAACTTTTTTTCCGTTTTGGATTGAGTAAGGGAAGTTTAATGACCCCTGTCAGGTTTTTTTTTTTTCAATGGGCCATCTGTGTCCCATTGGGAAAACTTCCCTTCCTTTCCTGTCCAATAGCCACAACATGAAGTAGGAGTAAATTTCTCCAAAAAGAGGGAAATCTCTGGTGGTCAGCAGGGTCACCAGAAGTAGTGCCCTTTTGGAAAATGTCCCATCTATATCTGTTCTGATGACAACCAAAAACTTGGGATTGTCTTTTACGTTCAGTGATAAGTCACCAGGCCAAATAGAGGGCAAATCCCCCTAAAGGGGACACAGACAACATGTTTGTGTCCACAGATATTTTCAGGTTTAACAATTTGCTATAGCTTTGCAAAATGTGTGTAGCAGTTTTCTATTGGGGTTGAACCTTGATCTATTTTAACCCCTTCATGACTGAGCTTTTTTTAGTTTGTTAATGGCCGACGCACATTTAAAAAATTTTCTGTGTGATTCTTCCACGGCAGTAATATACTTTCTTACTAAGTGCACCCGCACATATTATATATTGTTTTTTAACAGGACAGATGGGGCTATATATTTATATCATATACGTGTACCTAACTCCTCACTTAGGACAAATAAAATATAAAAAAATGAGGAAAAAACACTTTTCCCCAGTTTTGCTTATTATTTTTATAAAGCACAGCTAAAAAAAATAAATGCATTAAAATAAATTCATTTATTTGGAAACGCCTCACAGTCCTAGGATTTTAAAAATGTTTTTGTACTCCTCAGCCTAAAACTAAAAGCTAACATTGAAATTTTTTTTCTCTAAAAGCTAATAGTGACCTTGTATGCCAGGTGACACTTAGTGACAGCGACATACTTTTGAACAGGGTGAAAAACAAATCTGCAGCTCAATTGCAGATTTTCATTATTTTCACACACACACGGCTTGAAAAATTTTAGGGTGTCTCACCAGTTAGTCAAAAATGTAACCAGTCCGCATGACTGGACTATAACCCTTGCGATTTATGTTAAAAAATGTTATGGACCGATAGAGCTTTTTTTTTTTGGAGGTATATAATCACTGGAGACGGCCGATCGTTTGAATGTAAAGCTCCCGGTCGGCAGTTTAATTACAACAGCTGGACGGGAAGCTGTCAGACACCCGATCACTAAAAGGGATCAGGTGTCTTTAAAAGCTTAACTCTTTCATTAATGGATGCCTCAATACTCAGCAGTTACTGACATCATAGAACCCCAAATAGCTGCTCACGTACAGTGTATGTGATCAGTCATTTGAGCACTTAATGATGGGGACGTACAGTGTACGTCTCCCGTCACTAAGAGGTTAAACAAGCTTTAAATGCTTTATTAAAGGAGTTACTGACAGAAAGGTCCAGTCGCACAACACAAACTTTGCTGAAAAGTTTATTGTGGCACACAGGTACACATTGTGAATATGATGTGTACCTGTGTGCTACAGTAAACCTTTTAGCAAAGTTTGTGGTGTGCGATTGAACTTTTCTCTGTCTATAACTGCTGATTCTGCAGCAAGTTGGGCTCGGCCAGTGTGCACCTGCCATTCCCTCTGGTGCTGCTGTGAAGAAGATGTGATATTGGGCTATGGAGGTAGGCTTTATTGAAGAAGCTGTATAGTCCCAGCATATAATATCCCGTTATAACATCAGTACTGTAATAGGAATACATACTAGAGTTGTTTTTGATAATGCAATCAAAGCTTACGTGAAAAAAATCCCTTTTATGTAGTGCTGCCTTTCATCTGCCCATCACTCTCAGCTTAAATTTTTGCTGAAAGCTTTGCAAAAGCTTACTGTACACACTAGTCTGATTCAAGCCGAAGCCCATATAAATAAGGCCTAAGTGTCTGATGCATTGCCTACAATTATGGGGGTTTCACAAGTGCATGCAATTTTCAGCCTCGGTATATTTCTTATTGTAGCTTGCATCAGAGTAGTGTGTACAGCAAGTGTAAATAAACTCTGGGAGCTGTGCCCAAAAAAAGGCAGATGGAGTGAAAAGAACGTGTGGCCAGCATTGCCTGATGTCTCTATGCAGCTGATCTTTCCCCATTACTGACTTACCATGCACCATTCTGCACTGTGTGTGGAGGCAGCCATCTTGGTAGAAGCAGGGCTTTTGCTTCCACATGTCAGAGCCTTGAACAAGGAAAACAGTCAGCAGCACATAGGTATGTCACCAAATCTCACTGCACATCTCCTGAGACTAGCACTTAGAGACAGCAATGTCTTAGATCCACGCACTGCAGATATACACTGAGAGGCTGGATACACATTACATACCAGGAAGTACACTGCTTTTTCTCGGGAGGAACTGCAGACAAGCGGTACATTTTTCAAGGTGCAGCTCAAGCACGAGCAACATTTTCCATATAACATAGCAAATCTTCACTGATTGTGTTTATGTCCCGTTCAACAATCCTTTTTTTTAATGTCTAAATGGAAGTGTTGGAGATTACATTTTGTTGTGTGCACACAAAAAAAAGGCCTTTTACAGAAAATGTTGTGTAAATATCGTGTAAGATATAGAAGAGGGATTTCAATCCTTTTTTAATTTTTTTAATTCTGTATGTCCTCTGCTTTTAGAAAATGTATAGCTCTTGGTGTCTATAAATATTTCAAATAATAATTGGAATTTTTGTGAAAACTGAAAATTTGGTCTGGCAGCCAAAAAGTCAAGAACTATGGCCAAACCTTTTTTGGCCATAGTTTTCTTCAGGGTCACAGGAGGATATATACTATGTCCTCCTGTGACCTAAAACTCAGTATATAGTGGGCAGTTGGCGGTTGTATGCTGACAGCACAGAGCCGTGCTGTACCTGGGACAGATTCCAACAATATTTTCGGGATCCACCCCACTACCTGATTGACAGCTGGCACTGCCTCTTTAGAGCCAGCTGTGGCCACCCCCTCCCCCGTTTGTCCCTCCAGTCAGTGCTGGAGAAACAGAGAGGGGAGGGGAAGAATCCCTGCGGGGAGCCGTGACTGACGGTCACAGCTCTCTGCAGGAAGAAGATCGGCAAATGAGAAATCTGCAGTATGTGATCACTCATTTCCCGATCTATAGAGCCGACGTGTGACAGCTTCAGTGTCACACATCGGCTCTAATTATGGGAATGAAAGTATTTAACTCTCCACATAAGTCTCCTTTAAGCTACCTATAGACAAAACTAGGGCTGCAACAACTAATCCATAATGAGAATCTTTGTCAACGATTCTCATTATCGATTAGTTGATTTTGCTTGTTTCATGGGCTCTGTGTCCCCATTACCCTGCAGTGAGGAGAGCTTAACACCTCAATCTCAAACAGCCGCGGCTTGTGATATAGTTATGTAAAAAAAAAAGTTAAATAGAATGAAAGTAAAAATACCAAAAAAAAAGTAAAGTTCCCCGCGATTGCATGCATTCTAAAGGAACCACATTCTGATGCTCCAACGTACAAAAACAACGATTGTCAGGTATCGCCGTGTGCTTCAGAGTGAGAGCAATCATTCTCAGGTCAATATTCATTTTGGTGTATTATTTTAAATACATTTTGGTTATTTTTTTATTTTGGCTTGAAGTTTTTCAATTCATATTATTTTAAATCAATGAAACTAATAAAAAGTTCTAATGTAATACATACAATTATTAGAATAGCAATGGAGAAATCTCTTCAATAGGACACATGCAAAAGATGCTATAACCCTTCCCTAAGCTATCCAAAAAGAGAAAAATAAAAGGTTTCCATTACTTTTTGTTATTGGGATGCTATATGCGTGGTACCACAGGAGTGTTGCTCTGTGTTGTTGTATCATCCTAACCACAACACATAGATGTAAATAGACCTTTATAACTTCATAAAGTATTTCAACTATACAGGAAATTTGTAATTCTTTCTCATAATCTTCACCTAATCATTTTCTTTTTTAGGCACTGATGCTGGAAAACCTCCAGAAACAATCTACTCATACTGGGTTCCAGCCAAACTCTCAGGTATGTATGGTGCATTGTAGTACACTTTTATGGGTCGGCTTCGAAGCCTAAGCAGACAAATTTGATATTACAGGTCACTTCAGTGAGATAATTGGTTCTAAATCTGTTTAAAGCTTTTTATTTTATTTTAAATAGATTGGGGAAAGTTGGGCCCTCTGGAAGATACTTATTGTTGCCTGTGTCCCTGTTAGGGAGATTTCCCTTAACTTCTAGAACAGAAATGAGATATCACTTCAAGTGGACACAGATATAAACAAAAATAAATTATGAGTACAGGGTGAAGATGAGAATTTCTGACAAAGTTTCCATTGCTGTCTACATGGGAGAAAAGGCAGAAAAATGCCTATAAAACAATGCGCATAAGGTTTTGCACTGTGTGTGTTAAGCTGCATTGATCAGTATTAATCAATGTAAAGACACAATTGTTTTTTATATGTCGCGTTCACACCGTAAAGCTGCGTTGCGGTGCACTGCATAAAGATGTAAATTTTTATGCAGTGCAGCTCACGGCACTGTGACATTTCATTCTACTTCTTGCACCAAATGGCACTGCAACTCCCTGTGGTGCATTAAGTTGAATGAATTGGCATGTTGGAACATTTCCATAAAGTTAAAAAGAAAAAAGTAAATCGTGTGATGTGCTGTAACATCGCACCAGACTTCACACCGCACACCACAAAACTCTCTTTTTCTTTGTAAAGGGATGTCATTTAGAACTGATTTCCTTGCTGAGGAATGGGAATGCGGAATGGGTTATGTAACACTGCAACCCCTGGCAAACCCATACATATGAACTCTATTCTTAACTGTTTTTAATGCAAAATGATCTGTCATGGCACTGTTTGATCATGATTATACATTTAAATGAAAATGTTACGGTACCCTATGAGAGTAAAACTAAAAAAAAAAAAAAAATTGACTTTGCCATGGTAAGTATTTTTTCCTGTTTTCCTATAAGTATATATTTTGAAGAAAATCTCACAATATTACAGTAGTGTACACTAGTTATATTTGCATAAAGGCCACTGAGAAATGCAGAGGTACCGTATATTAATATCTCAAAATGCTGGCTTGTGTGTTCCAGTTTCACAGTACTCCAGATATAAACACATAGTTTGGTTTCAGATTAGACTATTAGACTGCTATTTCTTGATCATACATCACATGATTCAGGGAGTTAAATTATTTAACCATTTAGTTATTCCGCTACCTTCAGGTTATCGGACACTGACAAATCAATGAATACTGCAGGACAACCTTGCATAACCCCTCCCACCCCCAGCTTGCCTAGCTTTTTGCTGGTGTCCTTAGATAATTGATGTCTTCCTTCAGTTCAAAGAGAAGTACTTTCTTTTACACTATTTTTCTTTTGAGATTTTTCTGTGAGATTTCCTAACTCTGTTCTAAGCCACTGTGGTGCATCCAGCAGCTATCTGGATTGGTTTTCTTCTCGGCAAAGCCTTGGCAGGCTGTGCCCAGTTCTAGGGCCATGGTCCTTTTAATCCTGAACCCTGTATGCTCAACCGGAGAGCAAAGATTGAATGGCATGTGTTCAATGAGTGCTGCACATCCATGGTAAGGACCAAAACCCCCTCAGGTGATCCTCAGCCTGCCTTTCAGGTGCTTCAGTGCGACTTCTGAGTTGCAAATTTATTGGCAATACAGTTTTAGAAAATCTGATTTGGCACCATCGGTTGTTTACCACACAGCCTTGGGGCAGGAACTGTGTCTGCTCAGGCACCTTCGCAGGTACTGAGCTGCACATACACCCACCATTTTCTCTCTTTGTGCGTGCTTCCTGCTGCTCTACACCTTTGCACAGACAGAGAAGAATCTTCACCACCACATCGCTGCACCACATCGCTGCAGTCACAAGCGTGGTTCACCTTGCTGCCTACAATGTCTATACACAGGCACCCTCCTCTGATTTAATATCTATAGAGAGTTATGGTGGATTTTATGGGGAAAATGTATGATCTCCATGATCTAGCCGAAGGGGATGTAAGTGGGCCACACAGCTGCTTCTCTAAAGACCCCTTCTGGCTTTACTCTGCCTATCTCCCCTCCTGAGGCAGAGGAAAGAACCTTTCAGAAGGAGAACCTGTCTCCTGACCTTTCCTCTAAGCCAAAGGACGTGATTTCTGTCCTCATGGACGCGATCCATACACGGTTTGCAGTTACAACCGCCAATGTGAACCCTTCTGAAGATCACAAGTTTAGGGTCCTTGAAAATACCAAAACTTGCTAAACTTTTTTTCTGCTTTTAGAACCTGTGTTGTATGGTGGTTGGGATCACCTTAGGAAGTTCTTCAAAATTGTTTGCTCCAGCAGTATCCTATTGAGGCTGGCTTTCTTAGGAAGTGGGCGGTCCCTACTGTGAACCCCGCTATCTATTGTTTAAATAAGACCGTGGCATTCCCTGCAGAGATTGTCCCTGTTTTTAAGGATCACACAAACAAAAAGTTAGAAGCCCTATTTTAAGGTCTTATTGGCTCCTGCAGGCCAGGTTGTGCAAGCTGCTGGCTGCCTCTATGGCGGTATGTCAGACCTTTTCGGTCTCGTCCAAGGCTATGACCAGGAACCCTAGGTCTGTCTTGACTGACCCTGAACTTCTTAAACCACTGGAGCTTTTCCTGTGGCACTGCACTACTCTGTGGACGGCCATTTGGATGCTTTCTGCCACATAATTAGGATGAGCCTTCTGTTGGTTCACATGTGGATCCTTTGGCTGAGGTGTTGGTGCGCGGAGCTCCCCTGCAAACAGCATCTGTAGAGTATGGTAAATATTAACCTGTCAACTACAGGGGAAAATCAATATTTGTAAAGAGTGTACACCTGGAGTTTCTGGGGTGTGAAGAGGAACATACAATGCCAACATAATTTTAGGTGACTGCCATTGCTGACCTTTACTTTGCTTTGAGAATGTTTGTTTGTTCCCTGGCTGTCATGCTAATCCTCGGACTATAATATTTTCTGAGTCTCTTACCTAAAACAGAGATTCGGAATTTGAACACTCATTTCATAGCATACTTGTTCTGGATCTGTAACTCTAAAGAATTGAAACCAGAACTCCAGGTAATTAGTATTTTCAAGAGGGTCAGCAAAGGAGGTGCTATACGGCCCGAGTCCAACTTTTCTCTGGCTATTGCACTACATATGGAAAAAAATTCAAATGCAGTATACTTTGGGCTCCATTTATAAAGCTGCTATATGACCTTACTGCAGCCTTACTGCATTGCACTTGCTTTGAAAATGCGTTTGCAGTATATAGCAGAAAACTATACAAAATACCCACTTCAGGGAGGGTTGCATGTAGGGTTGATTAAACTATCAAAGTATTGATTAGTAGGGTTCTGACTCTTATGTGTTTAGATGAAGCACTGAGATCTTGAGGAATGCTTAAATACGTTTTACTTGCTTAGAATAACATTGTATACATGTATAGAGGGTTACAGCATCAAACAGGAAACCGCATATAGATCATAGAGAGGAAAACATATATGGATATATATTGATAAAACTTCCTCTGTATCACAGACAAGTATGCATACAGAAACATTGCACTACAGCGCCATCTAGTGCGCAAAAGACATAGCAGCACATTATGCATAAGCTGTTGTATTTCCAACAGTTCAGCCTTACAGTGCAGGTTTAACATCTAAACAGTATACTGTATTTTGTGACCTAAAATAGCTGGAAGATCTTGTCAGTATATTTCCATTAAACATAATGCAAAGTACTCAAAACAAATTTCACACAAGTTGATGATTCTGTTCTATAATGTTGTTACATTTAGATGTATTACCATTATCATGCAGTTGGAATGATTGAGTAATTGTTTTGCCCTACAGATGGGGGAAGAAATGGGACAGAACAGCTTTATAAAGCAGTACCTAGAAAAGCAGCAGGAACTGCTCCGACAGAGACTGCAGAAAGAAGCTCGAGAGGCACAAGAAACTGAAGGTATGAGCCAAGAGCATTTGGGGAAAGACCATTGCAGAGGTCTAAAAAAAAAGGTGTTTTTTAATGTCGGTGAGGCCATAAAAACTCCTTTACTCAAAAGGTGGTCAGCAAATGGCTCAACTGTCAAAATTCTAAATAGCCTTGAGAGTAGTATTTTTCTCCAAGAAATCACCAAAGGTATACAAGTCGTCTCGCTTCCTATATAATACTAAATAGGTTTTTGCATTTTATTACCATTGGTTGTTGGGTATGAACTTAACAATCTGGAATGACTCCATGTGTACATGGACATTTTGATACTGTGCGTTCTGTCCACCCTAAACGTGGTGAACTACACTGTGCAACAATAGTATGCATTTTTATTATATATTACCAAAACACAATGGTGTGTACAGGCTCTGAAGTGACAACGTTGGGGCAGAATATTCCAGGAGAGCTTAAACAGGTGCAGCAAAAGTTTTTTAAAATGACAAACCCAAGGCCATTGTAACAAAAGTCATCTGGAATCCCTGGTTATCATTTAACTTTTCATTTCAATTTAACTATCATGACATAATTTGTCTGCTTTTCCTTTATCCTAAGGGCTTGTTCACACCATCTAATGTGTTCAGGGCACGGTTCTGTGCCATGAACACACTGTGTTCTGGGGCGGGAGGGGGCTTGGTGGTGCCATTCATGTCACAGTATCTGCATGCACTATTTATTTGCGATGGCACCGCACTGAACACAGGGCATTCCAGTACCGTGAGTTCAGTTGGCGGGGATCGCTTTGCGGGCAGGAGGCGTGTCTGCCGCGCTATTGACTTGAATGGCACCACCAAGCCCCTCCCACCCCAGAACACCGGGGGGGGCTTTGTTTATGCGATACAGTGCGTTCATGGCACGGAACTATGCCCTGAAAGTTTTGGATGGTGTGAACAGGCTCTAAAGCAGAGCTACAGCTTTTACTGACCTCCTAAAAATGCTGGTTGCCAGACTATCGTAGTGATCGTCTTGAAGTTGAACGCTGGGATAAGCAAATATTGTCTAAATACAAGAGGCATGTGTATTTTTATTTGAATCTTGGTGTGCTTTGTGTATTTCTTCCAGATCTGTGCTGTAATTAAACACTAGTCACTGCTGCTCTCTTCTTGTGCAGGGTGGTTGGTCTTGTGTACGCCCCCTCCTGCAGTTTTCTGCAAGTACCCTGTAGTGGGTAAGCCCGCTCTGCCCCTCCCAGAGTTCTGCTCAGGCTAATAAACAGCACAGTGATGATGTCACTGCCACTTTAACAAAGTAATATCTAGGTTTGCCAAAGGCATTTGGTGCACACAAAGTTGATATACACTCATCGGCCACTTTATTAGTTACACTTTGCTAGTACCGGGTTGGACCCCCCCCTTTTGCCTTCAGAACTGCCTTAATTCTTTGTGGCATAGATTCAACAAGGTGTTGGAAACATTCTTCAGAGATTTTGGTCAATCAGGACATGATAAGTGTGCCAAGAAAATATCCCCCACACCATTACACCACTAGCCTGAACCGTTGATACAAGGCAGGATGGCTCCATGCTTTCATGTTGTTTACGCTAAATTCTGATCCTACCGTCTGAATGTCGCAGTTGAAATCAAGACTCTTCAGACTAGGCAACGCTTTTCCAATCTTCTACAGCAGGGGTCAAAATTTCAAGTCCTGAGCTACTAGCCAGGCCTTAAGAGTTACTCGCCACCAGTTGCCCACCTAACCCCTACCCTCCCGCAGCCTTAACTCCGCCCCTAAACACACCCTCTTAAATAATCTTGTCAGTGAGACTGTTACATGTTTTATGCAGAATAAAGTTACAAGAATAAATAGCAGAATAAATTTACAAGAATAAATATTAACAACTTTAACAATATTACCCCCCATGTTCTACAGTATTGTCTAGGGATGCACCGATATATCGGCCGCCAAAACATATCGGCCGGAAATGGCACTTTTGGCTAAATGCCATCGGAGCATCCCTGTTTTCTTTCCTCTCCGCTGGGCGCTGTTCTGTGTCCCAGGGGGTGGAGAGAAAATGTGACAGCCGGCCGAGCGTTGCGGGAGGAGAGCGCAGTGAGAGGACGGCGTCTCTCCTTCCACACCGCTGATTGAGTTGCTGCCATGTGATTTGCCGATTTAGCAATTTGTGTTACTAAGCAATTGAACAGGTGTACCTAATGAAGTGGCCGGTGAGTGTACATTTCTTTGTGGCTATTGAGAAACATTTTAAGTTTTTTTTTTGTGCCCGCAATTCAGCTTTAATACTTTGAGAAACTGTCCGAGAACAAAATTTCAGAAGCCAGAGTGAAGTCTGCTTGATTGCTCCATGTCAGTGAATAAATAATTATAAAAGCTGGAGGATGAGCATGACAGGCACCTTGCAAGTTTAGGTGAGTTTAGCCCATGTATTTCAAGCAGTACAGGTTTCCTTTAATTGCATATGACTGACAGAAGCCACGACAAGAGGCATTATATGTAATTTTTCATATTTTCTTCTCACAAACAGCCTCTAAAATATAAATACAAAGCACTTTGTGTACATTTTAACATTTGTGTTAAAAGAATTTGTAAGGAAAGGATTTTAGTGATTTTCAATGAACCATTGTGGCTGGAAACTGTAATTTTCATATTACTATTCACAAGAATTACCAGACATTCTTAAGGCTGGCATCTGATTTAGGTGACCTTCATCTGCAGTTCAAAACGCCTTTGAAATGTACAAATTTCTGTTATTTGTTAACTCGAAACAGTTTAATCTTTTTGTTTTATTCTGAAAAAGTATTTTTTTTGTGCACTGATACTAATTTTTATGTACTTTTATCGATTTAATTGTGTATTTTTATTGGTTTAATATTGACTTGACAAACATTTGCGCAATTATCGCAGGACCTACAAAATTAGTAGCACCATCTTTTTATTCTACTGGGCCTGTGCTTTCAGAAAATATATGGTTTGGGGGGTCTTATACAAACACTAACAACGCAGCAGTAGAAAATCAAATCAATGGGAAAAATTGCAAAAATGGTGTGGCCAGCTGAGATTAACAGCGTTCCAGGGGGCTTGGCAGTGAAAGGGTTAAAATGCAGTGAGTCATTTTTATTAGCTTGTTTACTGTTTTCCTGTAATGTTAGTATATTGAGAATAATGCATTTGTGACCCCCCCCTCAATAATCCAAGATAATTGCCTAGTTTTTTCTGTTACTATGCAATGACCTGATTAAACAAAATGTGGAGTGTTTACAATTTTAACCACTTCATTCAAACTCTTTGGTTCACAGAACCTTTAGCCGAGTCGGAGGAAGAAAATACGAATCCTGATATTATGCCGGAGCCTCCTGATCTTCTCTGTTCTGTTTTGAAGGTGCCAGATGTTGACCTGGGGAAACGCACTCAAAGTATGCATTTTTTTAATTTTATTTTTCTGAAGGGATTGGCATTAGTTTGCCAATTTATCCATTGATTGATTAGTGGGCTACACAAAAGATTTCATGTAGATGGTGATCGTTCGACATAGGTAGATGATGTTCTCTTGATATGTGCTCGTTTTAGGTTTAATTTGTAAATTGAATGTCCACAGAGTAAATTGACACACCTTCAGCTTGTCTCTTGATGTAATAAAAAACCCACTGCTGCCAAAAAATGGTAGGGATGCACCGATACCGGTTTTACAGTATCGAGTAAGAGTACCATTTATTTTTTTCTGGTGCTCGCCGTTCCCGAATACCGAGACCGGAAGTCCCATTAAGGAAGCCGAGCGGTGTGTAATGACTCGCTGCCAGGCTTCCTGATTAGCTGGGCAGCGTGTAGTGACTCGCCACCCGGCTTCTCGAGTAGCCGGGAAGCCGCCTCCATGCTGCCTCGTTACCAAGTGAGGAAGCATGTGGCCAGAAAGCCGGCTCATCAGGAAGCCGAGGGGCAGGTAATGACTCACCACCTGGCTTCCTGACCAATCGGGAAGCCAGGCGGTGAGTCATTACACGACACCTGGCTTCCTGATTGGTCAGGAAGCCGGCTCCATGCTACCTCATCAGGTGACGAGGCAGCAGGAAGCCGGGGTGGGGTAATAACTCTGCCGCCTGGCCTCCTGATTGTCCAGCATCCCGACCAATCAGGAAGCTGGGCTGCGAGTCATTATACGCCGCCCGGCTTCCTGATGAGTCGGCTTTCTGACCACATGCTCCCTCATCGCCAAATGACAAGGGAGCATGGAGCCGGCTTCCCGGCCAATCAGGAAGCCGGCGGGTGAGTCATTACCCGCCCCCTGGCTTCCTGATTGGCCGGTAAACTAGCTCCCTGGTTCCCGGCCAATCAGGAGGCCAGACGATGTGTAATGACTCACCGCCTGGCTTTCTCATACTGGAAGTTCTGGTATTCGCAGCATTTGAGCGAGTACTAGTATTGGCATTTGGTGCATTCCTAAAGGAATAGTATTTGTTTTTCTTCAAACTTGAAATGTAATGGAAATCATTATCCATTATTTTAAACTTTTATGGTATGAAAAACAGGATTTGTTAATAAATTAGCATGTCAGAATGGAATCCGGTACTACAAGTTGTTTTTTTTAACTCTATTCATTGCTCACAAAACAGTCCGTCAAAAGACAAGTAATAAAACAGTGGATTGTAACAGGAAATTAAATAATTCAACGAACGTTGGCAGTCTCAAGTGAGTCCTTATGACATAATTGGTCAGATACATACTTTAAGGTAAACCTACAGTGGATTTCTAAGATTGCATCAACAACTTCAGGACCCACATGTTACACTCCGTTCCTGACCAGGCCATTTTTCAGTTTTCAGCGGTGAGATAGTTTGACTGAGAGTTACTCAGTCATGCAACACTGTACCCAAATTCGTTTTTTAGGATTTTTTTTAGACTGTTTTGTTTTTTTTTGGTGATGTTTTAATAACCATTTTTACTATATAAAGGAAAAGAGACCAAACAAATTTGAGAAAAACCCTGTTTCCCTTACATTCTGTCATAAAATCAAACAAATTAAATGTGAGGACAGTATGAATGTGCCCCCCACAAATGACCCCTTTTTAAAAAGTAGACAAGGTTTTCTAATTTTTTTTGCCACATTTTTTGGAAACTAAGAAACCTGTTGGTATTAAGGTGTTTACATCCTAGAGCTTGGTAATGGTACACTAGATACAGTAAATGTACAGGTCATACACATAGGCAGGTGATGGGGTTAATGTACAGGTCACATACTGTGGAAGGATGGAGATGAGGGGGTTAATGTTCAGATGTGCAGGATAATGGCGGTGAAGTGGTTAATATTCAGGTCAGCAATGGCTGATAGAGAAGTGCATAAAATGGCCAGAAGGGTTGTATTCCAGTATTTGGTGTGAATCTACAAGTAAAGGAAGTGTAGATTCACACCAAACTTTATGAATTTAGAGGACAATTTCTCCTCCTTCTCGGATCAGATTTATTAACAACAACTGCTGGTATATGCTACTGGAGATGGGTTCATCAATCTAATAGTAATGGTCTTGTGAGTCGTGAACAATGTTTCCTGTAGAAAAATTCTGGTGTAGTGTGGCTAGTGTTCTTCGTCCAATAAAACAAATAAGCAAAACTGTGAGATATAGTATGGTTCCACTATGACTAGACCACTCCAGATGAGGCGAATAAAATCGGCTTGGGGTTGTGTGTGGAGTGCACAGTTATGTATGGTTATAAATCCCATTTTATTTGAACATACCATTGATGGATAGGTCTGGTGGATAATATATAGCTGGATTAACTGGTTATTGATCGCTGGCGAGACATACATATAAAAAAAATACCTCATCCCAGTCCTCTTCTGAGATGGTGGGCTTAATTAGTTCTAATTGCAGGGGAAGACTTGCCCAGTTTGGTATGTAGTAAATGTGAGTATGAAGTAGAAACCAACCCTTTATGGGCCTGTGATCTCAAAATGCCCATTAGGGATAGTTGGATATAGGCATATTTTGAGTTCTAAATTGTGCCTTTTAAGCCTTGACAAAGTTGCAGAAATCTGTAAGCGATTGAATGAGACAACTCGTGCTTTTCTTGCAGTTGTGTAAAGGAGTTCAGCTCACCTTCATGGGATTTTCATAGCGTAAGGAATAATATGTACCTGTTCAAGAATTGGATTATGTCATAAAGAGAACAATCATTAGACAGACCCTGAAATAATTCCAGTTGTTTAACTCCATTTTACATGTATTCACAGCACA